GGCTCAGAAATCTTTAGTGAAAAATAAATGGGAAATTTGACGCACACAAGCAAGTTCTCTATGTTTCTTGGAAACACATGATTCACATTCCAGCTTCATTTTGTAGCCCTTGGACAGGACAGAAACATAAGGGGAAAGGTAGGAAAGTGGAAAGGAAGAGAGGGAAGCCAGCAACAGGAAATGTGTGTGTCACAGGATGAGCTTAGCGGAGTTTCCATGTGGGCAGTCAGGGAAAAACATGCATTCTTGTGTCTATTAAAAGTACTCTTTTCAAGTTCATATTCCTACTTTTGTGAAGTATTCATATTTTTACTTTAGTGAATTGGTGAAGGAGTCCAGGTGAGTTTAAAATGCAGACATGGATTTTGAAAAACAGATATGGAGAACATATTTTTGTAAAAGTATGTGATGATTCAGTGGGGCCCAGCCTCAAAACTTTTTACCTTCTGGGGGAATTTGGCTCATGGTGGCGCAGAGATCAGTAACGCTGCAAGTCATTGCTTGAGTCTTAGTCTTGGATCTTGCTGTGGGACCTTTGGAGTCAGTCAATATGGGTATCTCTTCATTCATGTCAGTGTATGACTAAAGACCATAGGGGAGACAAGAAAATGATAACATGATCATCATATACCTTTGCTTCACCTCCTGGTAGAGCAATTTTAATGATTTTGTGCTGTGGACTGTGGCTGCTGCTGAAGTGGGTGATGAAGTTCCCTATTTCCATTGCAAATAATAATGTTTAATGTTCAGCCAAAGTACTGATATTACCATCTTCAGGGCAATATCCTCATGCCTAGTAAACAGCTGGTCATGCACACAAAATTAAGCATTATGGGAGAGGCGTTAGGGAGGGCGAAGAGTTAACTCTTAGCTATCATCTTCACACGGTATTCGTTTTTCAGATTCCCTTAAGGACGCAGGGCTTTTCCCCATCTCCAAATGGCAAACTCGCCATCTGCAGGCCAGCAAGACCACTCAGAAGGACCGGGGAACAAAACAGTCCCCCAAGCTCAGGGACACCTTGCTTATGGTGGTCTTAGGATTTCCTCTTCTTTTATGCACCAGTTAGCAAAAGGCAATTGCCCTTTGGGTGTTATCCCAAAGAAGTTTAGAGTATCCGCCTCTGGAGCTTAATCCTATCCAAGTGGATTGTTTAAAAAATGTAAAAAAAATAGACTGGATGTTCTTCTGCAGCAGGCTGCTTCTATCCTTGCTAGCGGTCTCCTCATTCCCGGTCAGTGCCTCAGCTGCACGGAGAGAGCACGCTGCAGGGCTCCTGCCCCCTTTGGCTTCCCAGCCCAGGCCTTAACACCCTCCCCCTGCTACTAAAAATCAGCAACGGTTTCCCCATGAAACGTGGTTTTGATTGGAAGATACTGTTTCTTAAGCATATTTTTTTTTCCATGAGAACATGTTTTATTTTTTAAAGATACTAAAACATGGTGTTTCAGGAAGCTTGAGCTTTCTTGTCAGCCTGGAGGAACATTATTGGAATGCGTTTTTCTATTTGAAATAAATTTTAAGGAGAAAAGTTACCTTATTTCAGTGGCTGGGGGGGTGTGTGTAGATGTCTTAACATCAGGATAAAAGTTACCTTATTTCAGTGTCTGTCTTGTTGTAGTGCTCACGAATCACAGTTGCATCCAATTAACAGTAAAAAGTCAAAACCAAAAGAAAATGTTTCATTTTTATAGTATTGTTTCCATTCAGCCCTTAAAAAAAAACCAAGAGGAAACTGAGGCAACCTCAGTTTCACCCCATTTTGAATAAAAGCTACCTCAAAGCTGCTGAAAGGAAAACACATGTAGTCCAGCTCCCCCAGCAACAGAAGGGTTTGTAAGCACCACAGAGGAACCAGAAAATCTGCAGTCCTGCCTTTGCCAACCCTGTAAATAGTGTCCTAAATACCGTCATGCGGCACGCTAATGAGAAGCAGCAGGGCCTTGTTACTGCTATGCCTCCTGCCCATAATTCACTGCGCATTTGGCCCCACTGGTCCTAGCAACTGTGGGCGAGATCCAAGCCTGTCTGCTATGGCCTCCTCCGGCTCTTATCAGAGGTTTGGTAGTGGTCTTGTCCCACCTGGAACTTCTGCCGTGGAGGAAGCTGCTCCGCTGCCGTAGGTTTACAAGGAGGGCAGCCACCAGGGAAGGGGCTGCCCAGCAAACCTGTCAAAGCTTCGGGGTCCTGTCGCTGCTGGTTGACTTAATACGCTCTTACAATCCTTCATCAGTCACAGCGCACTCAAAGAGAAATTTTAATGATCTTCACGGAGGCTATCGTGATCTCGCAGCCTTCAGAAGTGAAGCTGAACTGGGAAGTGGACAATTATCTCATTGTAGTTTAGCCCCTGAGATTTGCAAACAGCTGATTTTTCATTTAAACCTCAGTTTCTAAAGGAGAAAGCATAAAGAAAGACCTGATTTTGCGTTTCTGTTTGCCTAGAGTTGGGCGCTAGTGGTGTACATTGGAGAGCAGTGGCCACTTATTTTAAAAAGATACTTAAAAAAGTCAGTGAACCAATTTTTTAGTACAAAACTAAACCTCAGTGTTAGCTTGTTTGAAAGGGAGCACCCAGAGGTTGTGCCTGTGCCGCATGTCTGCTTCCAGGTGAATTCTGAAAATGAGGGACTGAAGTTAATAGAAAATAATAAATGTAATCTTCAGTCTAAGTTTTCACATTGCCTGGAAACTTCAGGTGAGCTCTTAGTTGCAGTCAGATAGGTACCTCCGCATACATACACTTGTTGCAGGCTGCCATGGCCCAAAGAACATATATATCACGTATACAAAGACAGGCACCAAGGTGAGGGGAAAAGTCATTCATTCCCATTATGCAGAGGGAGAAGCAAGGCATAGAAAGAAGCTGATTCTTTTGACGTCAGAAAGACTTACGGTATTGGGGGGGGGAATCAAGACTTACCTGTATTTTCATTATATTTTCTTAGGAACAGCTTGTGCTTAGATGTTTGCTTCCATGTGATACTTGTACAAGTCTGTTTCTTCTAATTCTTAGCGACATTCAGCTTCATACTCGCTTATGCCGGGAATGGCGCTCCCACACACTTTACACGCACCCTTTTTGCCTTTTTCAAACATGGGTTGTACAAGCTGGTGAAGAGAAATGCCAGAGCAACATCAGAAGGCCCCAAGCAACTGCTGGCATTGGTTTGGGTAATAACAGGGGAGTTGCAACTTGACTAAATATACAGCTGAAAAAATGTTGCCTGTGTACGGGATTGCTCTGATAATCTGCGTGCTCGCGTGGGTTGTCTTTCACCGCAGCTCTGCCCACTCTCCACCGCACTTCTCCTGCTCAGTGGCCATCTCACCTACACATGTCCCCTGGAGAATTAACACTGAAAGAGGTGAAGGGGAGGCAAGGATCAGCGGTGGTGATTTTGGAAGTGGAGTCAGATGTACAGGACAACGGCGAATGTGGGTGGGCAGCCTCTGCCCTGGTTTCCCTGTGCTGCTCGTGTCCAGGTGGTGGGTCCAGGCTGGGTGCTTGCCAGACCCTGGCCATGGTTGGCACCCGAGCTCCCTGCTGCCTGCAGAGTATGTCCTCTGTTTTGCAGGTAGGACGCATGGATGGATTAAGTGCCGACAATTGCACAGAGAGTTTGTGACGAGGAGGAGCAGAACTGAACTTGGCTCCCCCCCCTGCCATGGGCAGGGACATCTTCAACTAGATCAGGTTGCTCAGAGCCCCGTCCAACCTGACCTTGAATGTTTCCAGGGATGGGGCATCCACCACCTCTCTGGGCAAGTGAACCCTCAGCAAGATCTCTCTCTTCCTTTCACCAGTGTTGGCAGGAACAGAAGAAAGGCCCAGCTCAGGCAAGGGCCAGGGGTTGAAGCTAGTTGAAGGTGTCCCTGCCCACGGCAGGGGGGTTGGACTAGATGACCTTTAAAGGCCCCTTCCAACCCAAACTATTCTATGATTCTATGATAGCCAAACCAGATCCAGCCCTGCTGTGGTGCCAGGTTTGTTTCAGGTGTGCATTTAATCTCTCCCATCACCAAGCAAAAGCAAGATAGGAAGTCATGTCAGGTCACGCAGCCCTGCCTGGCCACCCCCACTCTATGGGCAGCGTGGGAGGAGGAGGTTGGTCCCACCAACCTGGTCCTTAGCCCGTCACTGCTCCTATTTCACTGGCTGGAGTCACCTCCCTGCACGCAGCCTGCTCTTTGCCTGGGTCTGAGGAGCTGGCAGGGATAGGGCAGCAAGGAGCAAGCTGCAGAAAATGCAGCTTGTCGTGCTCTTTTCAAAGCCACGACATTTGCATAATTAATGCTCCACGTTTTCTACCTATTCCCAGCTGTCCCATGAAATTCAGCATGTGTCAGCTCTCTTGGGCATAAGGAAAAGATTTTGCATACTGATGAGATACTTACAGGCACCGTTTGTCTTTGTTTCTCATGCTCCTTCCTTGATAATGACAGAATGATTACAAGATCGTTATTTTGTATGCTTTTATTATTATTTTCATCTTCTCAACACACAAGTAAGACTCAGTGGTATAAATAAGTAACCCATCCAAGAAGGAAAACAGTTTTATTAAGAAATCTGTATGGCATGACAATGGTACAGACTTTCTTGTTACGTGATGGGTGTAATTTAAATGAGTTAATAAAGATGTCTTTTGGGGATTTCTGTTCTTCTGTGATAAGTTTCTTGGAGCTTGGAGGCAGTTAGAGCTGAGATACATGTGGTGGGACCTTATTTGGGTGCTTGGATCACCGCTGCCCGCACTGTTCCCATTCTTCAGAAGAATGCAAGATCTCAGTAACCGGGGCTAGCAATCCAGAGCTGCCTTTGGGTAGTCCATTGTATTGGTATGAATCCCAAGGGACACAAGCATTTCACTCTGACGGTGTAACTTGACTAAACACAGTTTTTTCTTGGTAAGGATGGACTGGCTCTACAGTGTCCAAGAGTTTTCTTTCTTTGATTCCTCCCAGAAGCCTTGGGGAGCACAGCGATGGGAAGCACTCACCTTCTTTTTAGGCTGCATCTCCACCGTGTAACAACTCTCTCACCTCCCTGCAAGGGCCAGAGTGACTGGCTTAGCAACTGCCGTGGTGCAGGCCAAAAAGGTGTGCGGCCTGCAGAAAGTGGTTGCAATTCCTTGCGGTAAAAGCAACCTGCACTGGCTGCATTCACCCATAGGGCTACAGCAAGCTGGCCTGTCCCTGCTTGCCAATTCCTTTGTGCGCAGCCTTTTTTTTTGTAGATGCAGGGGCAAGTAGGTGCCTGTGAAACTCTCCTGTATTTCAGAAATCTGGGTCAATTTTTTTAGAAGGGGCTTTGGTTGCCTAACATGAGGCACCTTATGAAAGAAGCTTGATTTTCAGAGAGCAAGTGCTGAGCACTTCCCCAAAAAATCATATTCTTTGATAAGGTGTCCCATGTTGCATATCCAGAGTCACTAGCCATTTTTTAAAATATAGGTCCTAACAGCTCTTTGGTGGCTTTTTGAGGACAACCAGTTCAGTGCATTATAGATTTTTATGACTTTATTATCTCAGGAAATTTTCCCTCTGGCAGTGCATTTCTGCTGTTGCGTGACACGCATCATTGAAAGCCTGCTGCAGCGCTTGCTTGCCAAGTGAAAATCCCACCATGTTACAAAGTTGTTCTTGCACCTGCAGCTCAGTGGAATACAAGCAACTGAAGGCACGTTAAGGACGAACCAAGTGCAGTAACAGGAGGTGTGTAGCAATGCCCAAAACTGTTTCAGGTCCTTCAGGTTGTAAGAGGTAAAATACTGACCTGCCACTTCTTTGGCTACTCAGCATACAAGAAGTCTTGGCAGGAAAGCAGATACCCAGCAAGATTTTTTCCTACGTTGAAAGTTCTCATCAAGGAGTGAAAAATGTTTCACTCTACAAAAAGAGGTGCTCATGGAAATGAAAAAGAGAAATAAAACTTGGAGGACATGATGCATTTTGGAAACCACATAGTGAGTAGAGTAGTTAAAATTGTTTCTGCTAATAGCTGATAATACCCCTGTGGTTATTTCTCAGGTAACAGAGTGTTCCTTTAGTGTTCCAGAGCAAGCCCCCACCCCAAAAGCCATAAAGATCCTCAGTTATTACTTGTCAGGTTTCTCTGTTCACACAGACAAGCTCCTTTTGGATGGTGTGCAGTCCTTACCGGCACAGGAATAAGAGAAGAAACGGTTCCCTAAATTTCCCTACTATTCCTACCACTATTCCCACTTCTGCTCTGCGTTCACCACTGCTTGCTTGCAACCGGCTTTACAAATTCAGCCGTTAGGTGGAGCGTTTCTACTGTCAGCAGCCCAGAGATTTCACCTGTGGCATCTCGGGGCTGGGAGGGATGCTTTACCCCAGTGCTGAATAATCCCTGCGTGCTGGGATCTGCTGGCTGCAGGTGGAAAGAAAAAAAGCTAAAATGGGGGGGGGGGGGGGAATTTGTTTTTTTTTTGAGGTGTTTTTTTTTTTTTTTTTCAAAGCAACATTTTGAACTAACTAGATACAATGTGAAGAGAACTGTTCTGTCTTGGAATTACGTACACTATAATTTCGCCTGGTGGGACAGGAATAACAGGCATGAGAATAGGAGAGAGAAGACATGCATAGCTCAGCACTGAACTGTACAGACACTCTCTATCCATTCTGTCATCAGATGAGTCCAGTTTAAAACCAGTATTTGTATGTGAACTTGTCCACTTACCCAAATTTATCAGCCTTACTAGGAGGTGGGATTACATAGCCTAAGAACAGGCTGATAAATACTAAGTTATTTCACAGTTCAGAGCCAGAAGTGTGCATTCATCAATTTTTTGTTGCATTTTTATGAGGTCTTTTCTATTCTCTTTAGTGCTTTCTTCTATTACCAGCTCCACTGACATTCAAAAAAGTACAATGGGGAAAACCTGAGACAAATCGTACAATTTCAGGTCTTGGTCTCTATCTTTTTTGTCATGCGCGATGTGTTAAAGGTTGTCCAAGACACAGCTCTTGAAGATGCTGATAAATTACTAAGTTATTTCACAGTGAGGTCTTTTCTATTCTCTTTAGTGCTTTCTTCTATTACCAGCTCCACTGACATTCAAAAAAGTACAATGGGGAAAACCTGAGACAAATCGTACAATTTCAGGTCTTGGTCTCTATCTTTTTTGTCATGCGCGATGTGTTAAAGGTTGTCCAAGACACAGCTCTTGAAGATGCTGATAAATTACTAAGTTATTTCACAGTTCAGAGCCAGAAGTGTGCATTCATCAATTTTTTGTTGCATTTGAACAATTTGGAATCAGACAGCACTACTGGGGCAACTGTCTCTTCCCAGTTTTGAGGTCTGGACAAAAGTAGCAACACATTTCCTAATTTTGATGCGGACCGGTCATGTCTTGTGGTACAGCACTGGCCTGAGTTCTTCCACTGGCTAAACCTTCTCAGGGCTTGGGCTCTTTTTGCTGAGAGTAGCTCTGCTTTATATTCCCTCTTTCAATTTAAAAAAAAAAAAGAAATCAGCAAGCAGGAGCTCTTTGTTACAGTTTCATGGAGACAACGCTCATTCAGCACGGCTTAGCAGCCCTTTCTGAGCTGGGGGGGAAGAGGGAGCTCTCAGCCCTTCCCCTGGTCCCTTTGGTCTCTTGGTGCCTGAAGCCCCAGAAATACGGGCATCCCCAGAAATACGGGCATCACATTCACTTCATGAAACTTTTGGAGAAAGTGGCGGTCTCTTTACAAAGCTGGGACCCTGAGGCCTGAGTTTGTCCCACTCAGCTTCAAGCTCCTCAGTCGAGGGCTGCGTTGCTGTAGGAGATGGAGGGCGAGCGAGGCACATCCAGAGGGCAGTTGACCTAGTGCTGAGTTTGGACACCAAAGGCAGAGGTTTGTCCTTCAGTCAGAAATACAAGAGGATGAATGGGGCTGCTGGAGACAACGGCCACGTGTTCAGCTGTGGGAAGGGGACGGTACTACCACACTGGTGTGCAGTTTGTTAGGGTCCATGCTTGGCTATCCAAATCACCCCAAACCAATCGTTTTGTGAATCCCGTATTACTAAGCCCATCTGAGAGATGTCCTGCCAATGTGAAGTGCTAGGGGAGATTTTACTATGGCCTAATTAGAGAGGACATAAAAAATCTGAAAGACTTTACTGATGGCTGCTACTGGGAGCCTGCCTGGCTTCTCTGCTTGCCCCGACCTCTACCCCACCACTAACTACCAAATCCCCCTCAGACCTGCTTCTTCAGCTGGGACCCTTCAGGTGCCCCAGTTCTAGCTCAGCGTCAGGACTCCCCTTAAACACCTCCTTTACTCAAACTTTCAAAAACTCCTGGAAAGCTACACTTCGGAGAATCCAAAGCAATGGGCTACGCCCAGGGAAATGATGTTGTCATTCATTTTGCCCAGTCCCCTTAAAAAAATCTCTCTCTGTGAGAGGCTAATTCCATAAGAATCTGAAATTTCAAACTATGTCTCCACAGAGGGGTAACCTTGAAAAACCTTTTATACCTGGTCTTTGTTTTTTCTTTATTTTTGCTGTGCCTGGCCTGGGTTTGATTGTCTGTCTGTATCTATAGCTAAGCTAGGGCTTTAAGGAAGCGTTACTAAAACTGGCAAAAAAATATTCCTGCTACATTTAGTGTGGGCTAAGGACCTAATGCCTTCGGTAGCCTTGAGAGACACTTGCTTTGAAAGATGCGTTTTAGTAAATCAGAGGGCTGTAGTGTGGTGGAGGAACAGAACTGTACAGAATTACACCCGTCGTGCAAAACTACAGAAGCCAAGAGATGTACTGGCAGAAGCATCAAAAATATCTGTTATTAGGTCAGACAAAGTGAAATAGCAGCCCAGGAGGGTTCCCGTCACTGCCTCTCCTGTGACGGGGTGGGAAATGTACTTAAAGGAGAGCAGAGGCACAGGGCCTCTCATCCTGGGGTGATGGAGGCCGGGAAGGACTCCTGGAGACTGGGAATGAAACATTATTTTCCCTTGTGTGTCTCCCTTGGGCAAGGGTCTCACCAGGGTTTGAGCCTGGCCGTTTGCACACCTTCTGGCACAGCTGATATAGATCTGTGTACCCCTCCTCGAACTCCTGTTCTTTCTGAAATACCCATTTCTGGCATTTCTTTGCTTATCACCAGTGCTAAATTTCCTGCCAGCATGGTCTGGAGTGGCTTGTTTTGGGGCTGTTGACTGCAAGACACACCAGTCTTCTACTGCTCTTCTAGCCATCGCCACTGGAATTTGTATGGCCTCACTTTCTCCTTTCCTGGAGGATTAATTGTATCAACGCCTGAAGCAAAACTGGGTAATTTGCTTAACTGAGGAATTACCTTAAGGATGCATTTAGTGCAAATCTCTATGGCATTTTAAGTGCATTTCAGGGAGGAACGGTCAATTGACTTGGATGGATGATTTATGTTTTACCAGCAGAGATTAAGGCATGCAGCAACCTAAAAGTTAACCCCCACAAGACGACTCTGCCTGACTTGTCCTGAACGTAGGGTGCTTAGTCTCCTAGTGCTGTATCTCTGTTGGGAGAAACAGACATTGCAGGTGTAAATTGGAGGAGTTGAGGGCCTCCTGGTATGCACTGACCACCTCTCTTGGATGGTACCTGCTTAATATCTGGCAGACAGGAGAAGTCCTTTAATTTGTGACAGGGTAGTGATCTTTCCAGGTGTGAAAAAGGGGCAAAAACCCCCCTGTAAATTTCTCTTAAAAGATTAGAAAAAGAATAATTAAAACAGCTTCTCCTGTGCTGGCAGGAGAAGCCAGCGAATAGAGAATTTACTATTCAAGTCTGGTGCGAATGCTTTACTTTGTAAGGACTTTTCTTAAATGGGAAATGAAATCATGGACAATAAAAAGTAAATTACGGTTTAGATTTAGTACAAAGTGGCCTTTATGGTTGCCAGCTCATAAAAGTGGTGGGTGAAACACCCCTCTGCACAGAAGGGCAGTCTTGTACCACCAATAAATTCCATTTAGCCTCTGTTTTGAGGACCAGTGTGATATACATATGTGCTTTTCA